TTAAAAATAGAACTACTGCATGATCTAGCAATCCCACTTCTGAGTATACAGTCATGCACTATAACGACATCTTGGTCAATGATGGACCGCATATGTGACTGCAATCCCGTAAGATTATAATACCATATTTTTACTGTACGTTTTCTATGTTTAGATACACAGATACTTACCATTGTGGTACAGTTGCCTACAATATTTAGTATAGTAACATGCTGTACAGGTTTGTGAAGCTATACCATCTAGGTTTGTGTAAGTACACTCTATGATGTTTACACAACTACGCCTAACACCTTTTTCATAACATTTCCCTGTCATTAAGTGATTCTTGACAGTATGTCCAAAGAATTGAAAGTAAGGTCTTAAAGAGGTATTTGCACACTCATGTTTATAGCAGCATTAATCACAGTAGTGGAGAGGTAGAAATAATAACTGAACTGTCCATTCATGAATGGACAAACAAAATGTGGTATATACATACAATGGAATATTATTCATCCTTAAAAAGGATGCTGCAACGTGGATGAACCTTGAAGGCATTACGCCAAGTGAAATTACTTACAAAATGATAAGTACTATATGATTCCACTTATATGAGGACTCTAAAGTAGTCATTCATAGAAACAGAAAGTAGAATTGGTGGTTACCAGAGACTGGAGGGGAGGAGAAAAAGAGTTGTTATTTATTGGATATAAAGTTTCAGTTTTGCAACATGAGAAAATTCTGGAGATCTGTTTGTAACTATGTGAGTATACTTCAGTATACTCCTGTACACTCATAAATGGTTAAGATGGTTAATTTTATGTTTTTAGCACAACTTAAATAGAAAAAGTTCTCTCTCAGTCCTAATGTATACTACTTTAACAAACCGAGCTACTGAAAAGCCAGAAGTGAACATATGGTGTTGGATAGAGTGGTCTATGCGTGTCAGTTAGGTCAAGTTGGTTGATAGTTGCTGTTCAGGTCATCTTTGTCCTTACTAGTTTTCTGCCTACTTGCTCTACCAACTTGAGAAAGGGTTATTGAAATTGCCAACTATAATTATGAATCTTTCTGTTTCTCCTTTCAAACCTGTATCAGTTTTTGCCACATGTATTTTGAAACTCTTGTTAGGCACATACACATTCATGTCTTGGAGAATTGACCTCTTTATCATTACGTAAGGTCCTTCTTTATCCTTGATAATCTTCCTTGTCCTTAAGTCTACTTTGATCAAAATCAGTATATACTTCAGCTTTCTTTTGATTTGCATTTGCATGGTATGTATTTCTTTACCCCTTTACTTTTAACCTATTTAAGCATTTATATTTAAAATGATTTTTTGTTTTTGAAAGCATTTAGCTGAATCTAAAAAATGAGTTGAACTCCTGTATTTTTTTTACATTGTAGTTTAATCTGTTTCATATTCAAAT